TGTCCAAATTTATATTTCGGCCTCAACAAGCCACCAAAGGACGGAAATGAATAGTTGAAAAATAAAAATCATTGCATTTTTGTTACATAACGTTTTAAAAGTATACATTGTTACAACATTATTCCACGCATTTTATCGTTTGGTGGTTTGTCATATTTATAAAAGAGAAAGTCAATATTATAATTAAATGTGGTAAGCAGTTTTTTTAAATTTATTTATCCAATCCGTTACATTTTTATAAATAAGATAAGGTTCTCCCAAATTTCATAAAAGTTTATCGGGAGTTCGGTGTTCATTAAATTCGGCGTGAATTTGTTACAGACATCAGGGGCCTTACCATGAACTCTTATTACGATTCAGTTTGAGACCTAAAATGAATGGTTGTGAGACAGGGCTACATGAAGTGTATATCACCATCCCGCTTTTTTGTCGTTACGAACCTATACTGAACTGTAATAAGAGTTCATGGTAAGGCCCCAGGACATTTTAGACTCGTTTGCCAAAATATGCTAAATAATTTGAGGCTAGGAATGCTAGAAATTATAGTGAAAACGTTGCTCTTCTGTATCGCCGTAGATTTTTATTATTGCCTATAATATGTTTGGTCAAGGCTCGGAAGGCCGCCAACTTAAAGCGGGACTGGCCTGGTCCCGCTCGGCGGCGGCGTACCTTTGCGGCTGCGGGTGATCGGAGCGGGGTCTCCGTTCGCCAATAAGTTTGGCAACCACGAGGAGGACGACGGGGCGGTGTGGACCCCTTCGTCGTGATAAGGGGGAGGGAGAGGGACGTAGCAAGATTCAAAGTGCCGTAATTACGCGACTGAATTTCGGCGCGTATGAGGCAAAGCTAAACAACAATTTTTTTATTATCATTTGTCAAGGAAAGATACAACTCGAAAGAATCTGTCCACAAACCATTCGGAACTATCCACACACATCAGGGTCCTGGCGCCGAACATCGACATGTGTGAACTAGCACGGCCCGTCCACGTCCCGTGATTTCTCAAGGAATAAATAATTTCTCTTTCGGTTTCTGTGTGTGTGTGTCTGTATCTGTGCCTATTTCCGTTTCTATTTCTATTACCCGGGCACGATCTTGATGTGTGTAGATAGTCCTTTATAGTCATATAAGTATCTCTAGGCATGAATTTATTTAACAACTATTACTGGGACAACGTACCGTAGATATAATGATGGCACCACACAATATTACTTTAGCTTCCTATATCATCCATACACTACATTGTATCATATCAGAGATTATTTGTTTATTAAATTGTATTGTAATTATATTATCACCGTCTCAAAGAGACTAAGTCGCGTCAAGGTTACTGTTTGATTTGTTTATCTTTTATATAAATTTTATTGTAGGTGTTTTTACTATTGCTTAGTTATTTATTATACTTACTGTAAAGGGTTATGTGTAAAATTTTAACAACCTCACAGGGGTAAATTGTTAGCACCATAAACAATATATCGTCGCCTTACCTTCTCAAGCTCGTATCATAATGCACAAAGTTACGGAAATGCAAAAAATGGATTGTATATACAAAGAAGGATGGCGACATCCCGTGTATTTTGTGACCCATTGTTTTTGACGACGTGCTTTAAAGACCTATCAATACTTGTGATTAATTATCAAAGCATCAAAAAAGCTAATTGAGTGCAACCTGTAGAAGCTGGAGCTTATAAACTTGATTTAGGCTATGTTTATAATATTTTCCTGTATTTCTCTTCCAGATGTTTGTTCGTAGTAGCAGAAAACAACAAGTTTTCATTTGTTCCTAAAAATAATAAAGAACTTGCTGAATATTCCTAAATCTGCCAATCTCTGGCACATTTTTTTGTTAAGTTGTTCTGTCGCAATAAAAATTAAATCTGCCCAAATGGCAGAAATTTACCACAAATGTTCACACTGTTCTCAATCTCAAAGACATTCACATTAGACCTCTTGTCAAAACGTTCCTTTGCTAACTTTCGTATCTCTCATTTAAATATTGTCTAAATATTTTTGTCACATTGCGTTTCATTTTTTACTTTATGTTATTAATGTTTAATTGATTATTTGATTAGGTATTTTATAGCTTTAATGTTTTATGTGTGTATTATAAAATAACCAATACTTTAGGTAGATAAACATTCATGCTTGAAATGGAACGCACGTACAAGAACGTTACATAATCTATGGTCTAACTGAATCAATTACGTTGTGTACTTGCATCTATTCTAAAATACATTGTTACGCAATTTCTTTACTCCCGACTTCTAAAAATATACAAAAATATATTAATAACTAGGCAAGAGCTAAAACGTAAAATTCTTATTTCACGTCACATTTCTTCATATTCTTAAAGTAATTCATCCAAGTTAACACTTTGATAAGAAATTTAAAATAAATAGAATGTTTTACCATCTGCTGAATAAGCAATCTCAAGGAAAGCAACTTTTGTACCATGATCAGATTTTACTTTCGAGTAAAAATTTTAAAAAATGAAATAGATCGTTCTAACTGGTGGTGATGCTCTGTGCGGTTACAAGAGAAAGTAGGGGTCGTCAGGGAACAGCGCTAGTACGTTTGGTTGTACTTACTACCAAACGTACTGTGTACCGTTTAAGTTCTCGGGTTTCTCTCAGAGCAAAATTTAAGGAGACTGGTATCATGACTGTGGCATCACAGTACATTTACTCAAATATTTTGTATGCCCGTAAAATATACATAATTTCATTAAGAAAGAAGATATCCATAATATTAACCTTAGAACTAAGTCCAAACTTATGGTACCACGATTCTTTTATGGGGAACCATATACTTTTCTACAATAAGATTCCGGAGAATATATTAAGATTATCATATAATTTCCTAAGTTTAATACTTACATTAAAAGTATTTTAATTGAAAAGTCATATTATAAAATTGAAGAGTATGTGTAGATAAAGATGTATGGAAAGACAACAAGAGTCTAGATTCCATACAATTATGATTCAATTTGTATTCCATAGCATTTAAGTTTATTTGAAAAGAGCAATCCCTGGAGCTTCTTGCTTGTTCTTGTCAGAGCGGTCAGCGTAGTGAACGAGCAGTAGCTTAAAAAATGACGTTTTCAAGTGTAAAAATTGTACTTATCGAATAAATGTTTATTTTACTTTGGCTTTGAAATACTAAAGTTTGAAATACTAAACTTTCTTTTTGGTAAAATTATGTTTCGAAAAATGTCATGGAATAAGGTGTTTGATCTTGTTGTACAAGATGTTTATAATGTAATATATACCTGTATAAATACTATACTACTACCTTTTGTATTTTTAAATAGTATTTTTTGCCCATAGTGAGGTAGCTTACCTATTTCTGCTGCCATGCAGTAATGAGACCATTACTGTTTTGATTTTGAAGGGTAAGGGTGGTGGTGAAATTACAGGCACATGCACCTTGTCAACTTATGTCTCATGGTGACTAGCGCAGTGGCAGTGCCCATAAGATCTCTGCGATTTAAAGCTCTGAGTGGCACTGCAACTGTTATGAATAGGCGTGTCGATTACCACCAGGCGCACGAGTAGTTCGTCTCGTCACTTGCTATTATAAAAAACAACTACCTGATAAAATAAAAATCTTTGAATACGTAATCTGTTAAGAAATGGCATTCTATTGAAAATTCCAAATTTAAACATCATAACTTTTTTATTAAAAAAAATGGCCCTCAAAAGTTTGTGAAATTACATCTGTATAGCTAGTTTTATTGAAATCGGTTACCGGAAAGTGCGACCGGATTTATTCCCTAGTTTGCCACCTTCAGAGTTAAGATATTTTCTCCAAATTTAAATGGGACCATTACTGAGGCATCCTCTTTCCAACAAAAAATAATCATCAATATCGGTTCACAATCACTGGAGTTATCGCGTCGTATATACAAAGAAAACAATCGAATTCAGAACGTCATCCTTTTTTTTTTGTTCACGGTTCAAAATCATCCTTAGCGAACGACTCCCTGACAGCTTTGTTGCCGTTTCGTCAGTGTGACCGTCAATATGAGGGGCGCGGTGTGGTATCTTAAACTAGGGAGGGGCGGAGAGTGACTTTTCTCATTACTTTGTTATTCACTGCTGTAACTGTTATGGGCGTGGCGCTTACCTTATCTAATTACATTCTCTTTATATACATATATATAGCATGTAATACATATATAGAGCATTTAAGCACAAATTTGACTTATGATGATTACAAAAAATCGTTTATTGAGCATTGTTAGTACATTGAAAATTTAGTGCATGGTTGACTTAGAAATTGACCGACCTAGAACTACTTTGAAGAACTGGAACATATTTTTATAGAAACAAGTTCTAATGTAACAGTTGCCTCTTTTATCCGCAATAGTGAAAGGTCGTGTCATGGTCACGTACCTGCTTGAATGAATAAGAAATATGTTTCGGTATTTTTTTTTTATTAGGTGACGTACAGTCAAGAGCACATCAAGCTTGGTGTTTCGGACTTTTGGCAGTCGCGTTCTTATCGTAAGCCGCATAGAGAGTTTAAATCTTAATTGTCAAGCATGACTTGCTGTTGGTAACCTCTGTACACCTTTACCGTTTAACCAACTTACATTCAAGTTTGTTGAATGATTTTTCATATGAATTATATTTTCACTCAAATGTTATGCCTCAGGGCGACGGGCACAGAGTCAGTGTCCCTGAAATCTTTGCGATTTAAAATTATAGACCGGCGTGTCGTTTACCAACAGGTGCACGTCACTTAGTATTATAAAACAATTAACGATTTCTCATAATAATATGAATTATATTGTGATTCAAATATTATGGACGATTTTTCATAATGAATTATGTTCTCACTCAGATGTTTTGAATGGTTTTTCATATGAATTACATTTACAAATCATAATGAAAAATTTTTCATGATTTTTTTTTCAGAATGAGTGAAAATTTCACAGCGTTTACAATTATTATTAATCTGATAATCGTAATGATAAAAATTCATATATGTGTTTTCAGTTTAAAAGACGCGAAAGTGTCGTACGGGACCGACAGCCCGTCGCGAGGTCGCAGGGTGATATTCTGCGTGCACGGAAACCCCTCGACGGGGTGCTGCGCCGTTATGGAGACCAACGCCGACGGAGACCCAGAGAAACGGAATGGAAGCATCACAGACGCTGAAAGTGAGTAGGTGCTATAGCTTCCGTTAACACGATGCGGATCACGTCGGACCCCATCTCCGAGTAATCATACCCGGAGCGCTAGGGAACATTATTATTATTAGTACTTACTAGGGAGCAGTAACTATAACCGTTGCATGTTATGTAACCAAAAATCATACTGTGTACGTGGTTCGCGAGCTTGCCGCGAGCGGTACACGTGCGGTTCGCAGTGAGCCATCTAATTGAAGACTGTTTCAATCATACACACTAGAACCTCGTTACTGTATCTGCACGTTACAGTTACAACTCGCTAATGGGTAGCCAGCTTAAGCAGAGCGGTAATTGGTCGAGAGTATATTGAAATATGGATATCAGGGCCCTGATTTTAATTCAAATGGGAATCGATCCGATCGGGTAGCCCATTCGCAACATTATACGCCTCGACTCGGAAAAGACGCTGTTTCAGATCGGGAGAGGTAATCAAAATCATGAGCCCATCAACTAAACCTATTTTACTTACGGTTTGACCAATCACTGACAATAAGATATGATACCTATATCTTCCGCCAAGCAGGTAATGTGAGCATTACTGCATTCCGGTTTTGAAGGGTTAGGGTGCTGGTGAAATTACAGGCACATGGGAGTTGTCAACTTTACGTTATAGGGTTGCGGGCGTAGTGGTCGTGTCTCTCAGATAGTTGCGATTTAAAGATCTGAACAGCGCTTTAGTTGTTATGGATAGACGTGTCGCTTGCCACCAGGCGTACGACATGTTTGTCCCCTTGTTTCGTATTATTACAAAAAAAAATCTGGACGCTTAGAAAACAAAAATCATGGGTGTCTGACTGCACAACTACAAATGTCCTTATCGAGTTTTTAGGTTTTCACAATTATTACACATGGCAAATGAAACTATATTTGTTTTTTTCACACAAACTAACGTTTCCAGCCCTTCACAGATCCCATGATCACGGCTGACCGAGATGGTATTGGTTATCAAACAGTTATTAGAAACCCTATCCTGAATTAACTGAAACGTTGGTTTCTTTGAAAAAAAAAAATATACGCGATTTATGTCCGAAAAAATTGTTTCATTTCCTATACAAATGTTCTACCACATATATCTACCATGTTAGATATAGTAGGTAAGGTACGTGGAAAGTTCTTGTGCCAGAAGAGTTCGTCCAGGGAAATATTGCCTTACCTATCTCTGCCGCCAAGTATAATGTGAGCAATACAGCGTTCCGGTTTTGAAGGGTAAGGGTGCTGGTGAAATTACAGGCACATGGGACTTGTCAACTTATGTCTCAAGGTGAAAGGCGCAGTGGCAGTGCCCCTCAGATCTTTGAGATTTAAAGCTCTGAGTGACACTGCGACAGCTATTCACAGGCGTGTCGCTTACCATCAGGCAAAAAAATTGGAAAAGGCCACTCTCTGTCCCCTCTGATCTGCGCACAAAACTACCTAACTACCATTTGTAAGGTAAAATTATACGAAACCAAACGATTATTGCGGTTTTTCTTTAATTTCTATAGTAATTAGAAGCTCCTTATGTCCCAACCATTTGCGAAGGCGTAAAATGACAACTACAGGCGGTAGTCTGTGATCAAACCAAGATAACAAGCTACTGGTTCACATGAATGTTTTTAGTAGCATTAAAAATTAACGCGAATAAATTCATAACAATTGAAAACGTGTGAACGATATCGACTCCACACATCACGTTCAATTCGGCGGAGTGTCATTTGCAATGTACGACAAGCTTGTTTTCAAACACAGTTTAGGCACAAGCACCGCCGAACGCCGCACCCTCGATCTGCTTCTTCTATTCTTTTTTAAGTTTCTGGCTTCTCTTGAAGAATTTTGTCAATGTCAAATCAGTCATGGAAGTTACACTTTTTTTTATGTTTAATTAATTAACACTGCTCTTTAGTCTATTCCGGCTTCTGGAACAATACAAAACAACACGATATACCATCACCATTATACGTTATACGTTAATATAAGTAAATTAGTTTTATAATTTAAGTTTGTTAGTACTAATAAAATCAGATATTAATTCTACGAGGGGATTAGTAAAAACTGATAACAGAAACTTGAAATTTACGAGGCGAGGAATAGAAAGTGGAAGACTATCATAAATGGAACATGTTCTGGTAGGGCAGCTGAAGAATATGTGGTCTGGAGTGCCTTCATCCAGACCACATTCAGATCTGCTTCTTATCGTAACTTTGGCATGCACTTGTCATATGCTTGACATAGTGGTGGAAGGATTGGCCAATCGTCGTAGGGTACTTGTCAACAATTTATTTCGCATCGCATCGCTGCACGAGAAGGCACCCGTGGTCGCTGGAATGCTCGAGCGAAAGCGAGCTTTCTCGCAACTACGTCTTTGGAATTTCGGCGATGTTTGTACAACGTGGTTACAAAAATTTTCGTTATGTAAATTGAGTCTAAGGCCGCAAATTCGGAATGATGGTGCGTTAAGCGGGGCGTTCAGAGTTCCAACACAAGACCGTTTGCGCGCGCTATGTACGCGCGCGCAAACGGTCTTGTGTTGGATAACACAATATATACGCAAACCCTGAACGCACCAATGACGTTGCAAATTTGTGGCCTAAAGCCATTGACTTACAAATAAATGGACGACGGGTCTAATACAAAAACCACGAAAAAAATGTCCCAAGTCAACCTATTCGAAATTTAAATTGTAATGTCATCGCAGTATCGCGCTGTCAGTAGAACAAATAAAGACTAAAGCGGAGTGTCGCGCTCTGTATACGATTTTAGCGCCTTACAAGTGCGGACACTTTTTAGCGCGGACCCGACGTCCATATAATTGTAAGTCAATGCCTAAAGCTCAATTTATATTGCGGCGAAACGTAATGGAAGCGACTTTGTGTAATGATATTATACATTAGATAATGAACTTAATGGTCAATTGTGTAACGTAAAATCTTCCCCGGAATCCTATCCGTTCCGCCGCAATATAAATAGAGCCTTAGACGTACAGTAAGAGAATGGTACAGGGTCAAAAGCACGTGAAGCTTAACATTTAAGACTTAAATCCAACTCTATGCCGCTACGATAAAAACGGTTTAAAGTACCAAGTGTCAAACTTGATGTGCTCTTGACTGTACGTAGTGCGGGTAGACTTTTTTCGTGCACCTCAGTGATAAAGTGACGTAATCCAGAAAGTGGCGGGAAACTGATAAAACAAATTAAAAAAAAAATGTACGTGGCAACTGCTAATAATGCCAATAAAATTGATTAGGAATTGAAAGATCCTAGGAATTAGTTTATATTATTTGCTAACTAACTGCCTCCATGACTGAACGGTTACCATACTGGTCTGCCACCGCAGAGGTCCTGGGTTCGATTCTCCGGCCGGAAGATATATTTATATGTACGTTTATTTCTCTCGTGAGTTTCGGTGTAATTTTTGTTGTCTATATATGTGTCCATATTACCCGCGATACAGGGTTTCCCCAGTGCGGGGTTATGAGTGTGTGCGTAATATTATTTATGATAATAGATCATATACTATAGTATAGGTTATTGTCTTTGTAAATGGCATAGAAATATAACGCAAAAATTGTGGAAAGAGGTCGCAACATATACAATAACCACAGAGGAACCACAGACATTGACAACTTGGATGAACAGATGACAACGACAGCGAAATCTTTCCTGTTGCGAGTAGTGATTATGGAGGAAATCAAAATAACAAATAAGAGGAATAAAAACACGAAATCAACCAAAGGTTTTATAAGTAAATACCTGTAAAATCTTTGATATGTCGGAGGACCATATATGTGACGTTACCGCGAATGTACTTAAAAACGTGTATCAAGGTATTTCACTGGAGAGTGACGGTGTTGAACCGCATATGATATTCAAACGCGTGTCCTTACTAACCGGTAAATACTAAACTTAACGCATTGAATTGTAAATAAATAACTAACTAAAATGAGACTGGGTAGGCCCTCGTTGAGGATATAGCGGTCATACTGAAGCGAAGGGGGCACTATGAACACGAGACTACGTGTAATTGTAGACTACATGTTAGATAAAGATGTATGGAAAGACAACATAGGTCTAGATTCCACACAGATATGATTCAAAATGTATTCTATATCATTTAAGTTTATTTGAAAAGAGCAATCCCTAGAGTTTCTTGCTCTTGCTTGAACGAGCAGTAGCTTAAAAAATGACGTTATCAAAGTGTAAAAATTTTACCTATGAAAGAAAAAGTTTAATAACTTTTTTGAAATGTTATTATTATTTAAATTTTATGCTCTTCTCAAATAGAATAGACTTAGATAAACACCTTTAATTCTTATAATGTTTCGTCTAAGGCCGATAATTATCGAGAAATTTGGCTCCTAGTAAATAAAATTTTTTCCCGCCAATTCCCGTTTCCATAGTGCCCTCTTTCAGTTCAGTCCAACAGATACAGCAAATTTTTTTTTATAATAACAAATAGCGTACCCGTAAAAGATAGCGTGATAATGAAGGCCTACTACCGACGTAGTAACCCGGGAAATTATTGTTGTTCTAGTCTACTAGTGGTACAAGTACCACGGGCAACAAATAAATTTATTGACGCGTACTTAAAGGGCTGATAGGAAGCAATAGAAAATTGAAAACAATCCCATATCATATGGAGATTTGTAATTAGCACTTTCACTTGTTACTTAATATATATTTATTGTTAAAAAAATACTGAAAATCTTCCAAAAATAAATAATAAATATATCTACTTAAGTTTTGTTTGTGGTGCCCCTTCGTATCAACTTCTTAGTTATACGAGACAGGCACTATTGCCCCTGCAAGCAAGCCCGCATAGGGACAGTCAGGACCTGATCCCAGATCAGCCCGTTTGAGCAGACTTTATCCAGTGCTCAAAATGCTAGTGCCATGGGTGTACGACCCCGGGTGTGCACGCACAGCGCCCTCCATATTGTCCAGATACAATGGAAAGGGCTTATAAAAGTAACAGTTAACTATAATAGTCCCTT